TTTACAAAGAGTTCTAGACATGCAATTTAAACATTCATCTGATAAGGAATGAATTCTTTATGGTAAGCAAATGCAAAAAGCATGCAAATAGATTCTAATCTAGCCTTGTTATATACAATTATCCCATTTTTCATCTCATTTATTTCTAAGAACTCATTTTGTACCAATAATGTTTTGGTAATTTGCCTAGTAACTAAATCATAAACATGATTTATTTCAAATTGATTTATTTCTTCTTGCATAGCTAGAATCCAACATTTATCAAACTTGACTTATTTAAAATTCTTTGGTTCAATTTAAAATATAAAAGTACAATTAATAAAATAATTAGTATTAGAAGACCTGGTACTTACATACTTGGAAGGATCAACAATGATGAGTTCTTTTGAAAGATAAGGGACAAAATGCATCATTTCGTATTTCGAAAGATGTTTTTTCATCTTATTGTACATTTGCTTCTTCCTTATGTTGATCTTCAAGATTTTTGGGATCTTCATTGTTTTGATTTTGGATGTTCATTTGCTCAAAAGGAATTTTCAAACCTACATCATTATCAATACCTTTCTCTTGATCAAATGAATTAACTTAATCAAATATTAAATGCATGAATTCTTCAACAGCTGAAGTTTTTTTGTTGAAGACTCATAAGCTTTATTAATAGATAAATATCCAATAAAACTTTCAATATCAGACTTTGAATCAAAATTTTCCCAACTTTCTTTAGTGTTCAAGATATAAAATTTACAACCAAATACTTTGAAGTAACCGATATTGTGAACTCTATTTTTCCAAAGTTTGTAAGGGGTTTTTATTTTTTTTGACTAACAAAGACTCTAATATGGCAAGAGTGTTAACAGTTTCGGTCCAGTAGTATTTTGATAAACCATTTTCATTTAACGTAGTCCTAGCCATTTATTTCAATTTGCAACTCTTCTTTTCTATTACATCCTTTTGTGTAGAGGCGTTGTAGGAGTTGATAAATTATGTTCATAGCCGAAGTAAGACTGTTTATGTCATAAACATTGAGTTTATCGTACAAACATCACATCTTTAAATAGATTATGATAATCTTTATCGTACAATTGACTAATACTAAATAGATTATGTTTAAAGTTATCAACTAAGAGAACAATTTAATAGAGGGAGACGAATGATTACCAATAATTCCAATGCTAATGATTTTTCCTTTGGCATTATCTCCCAAAGTGACATGATCACCGTCTATCTTTTGAATCTTGATAACAAAATTAGATCTCTAATCATGTGCTTTGAGCATCCACTATCTAATAAACATTTGCTCTTTGATTTCTTAGGTACTTACGACAAAATTTTATCTTTGGTACCCAAATAACTTTAGGTCCTTGGTAGTTAGAGATTGTGGACTTTTGAATTCACTTGTGTGTTGCCTTCAAAGTGAATTTCTTTTTTTATAGAACAATTGAAGGCTATATGTCCACTTTTGATGCAAAAACTACATGTGACATTTGGAAGAGGTGAAGTAGAGGTTTTAACAAAGAAATTTTTAAAAGAATTTTGTTTCAATAATGGTTTATATCCAATACCTCTTTTATCAAAAATAAATTTTTGCTCACCAGACATTAGATCAAAATTTTTCTTACCTTGAGTAAATTTGTGAATAATTCGAATCATTTTTTTTTTAGAATAGAGTGTTCGAGAACAATTTTTTCAAATTCTTCAAAGAGTTCATCATATGAGGTAGATAATTCATCATATGAAGAATTGTCATTTGTGTTTACCTCATTTCCAGTAGCCATGAAGCACATATTGGAAGCTTCGTCTTGACTTTTTTCCTTCAAGGTCTTCATTAATTGCATATTTTAATACAATTTGGTGATTAGGAAGCTCCTTCGTTTCCTCCTTTGCTAGTACTCGTATGATGAGTAAATTCATTTTTATCCAAAGTACAATAGAGTAGATTTTTTACTCTAGCATTTAAAGACAAGTATCTTTTATCCTCTTCATCATACTCCTCTCTAGGTTTTGGAATGATTTGGTCTTATTTGCCATCAAACTTAATAAACTTAGTAGACACATAAGGACCATATTCAAGACCCTCCCAAATAATATAATATCTAGCATTTCAATAGTTATTAATGAGTGCTATCAAAAAAAGAATGACAAATTGTAGAATACCCTCAAGATATAGAATATTATGGTTAGCCATTACTCAATACTAAAAAAATCTTAATTTTAAAACGAGTACCTAGCACCGATACCAATTGATAGCCCAAAAATAACAAATCAAGAGGGGGGTGAATTAATTTTTAGAAATTTTTCTAAAAATAAACTTAAATCAGACTATTTAAGAATACGTTGGTCAATTAATAATAATCATAAGCAAATAAAAAACAAGTAGGTCAATCAAATAATAAATGTAAATGAAATAAGAAAAAGTAAAAGGGTAGAGATAATGCAAAAAATATAATTATAGAAGTTCGATCCAAAGTAATGATCCACGTCCTCTATTACCAAGCTTTTTGATATGAGTAAGACATTTTCACTATATTGATTAATTTATAGTGCAATGCAACCTTTTACAATGCTTTCGATGATTACAAACGAGGAACACCGATTTTTATACAATATTGAGGTTTACGGAACCTCGATTTGACCCGCTCTAATGAGCATTTCGAGAACTCAGTTTGACCCATACTATTGAAGTTTACGAGATCTCAATATGATTCATACAATGACGTACAACAAAGAGCACTGATCCTTATACTATTGAGCTTTCACAAGATCTTAATAGGGCCCACAAATTTAGAGCAATGATTTTACAATAAAATTTATCTCTCAACAAATAATACAAATGAATTAAGTGCTAAGAGAAACTAACATTTCAATGAATAGCAATAAATGAAAGCTCAAGTATTAGGTAAGAAAACTTTGATGAATATGATGATTTCGAAATTTGATTCAATCAGTCAAGGTTTTCAATGAGAAGATGAAGATGAAAGAAGTGCTATACAAGTTCAAAAATCTTTTCAAAATATTTCTCTCTTTTAATGAATAATAACAATAAATTAAGTAGTAAAAGATAGATGAGAAACTTTGGTGAATATAATGGTTTTTCAAGTTTGATAGTGGCAATGTAAGTTCAAAGATTTTCTTCAAATTATTTCTCTTTTGTGAATGATATAGATGTAAGTTAAGTATATAAAGAGATATGAGAAACTTTAATGAATATTGTAATTTAAGAAGTTTAATTCAATCAATTAAAGTTTTCAATACAAGGAAGTGGAAGAAATAGATGGAATGTAGATTCAAAACTTTTCTTCAAAATATATCTCTATTTTATGAATGATAAAAATATGTCAAGTACAAAAAGAGAAATGAAAAACTTTGATGAAGACGATAAAAAGAGTTTGAATCAATCAAAGTTTTTGATATAAAGAAATAAATGAAATGAATGCAACGTAGGCTTAAAAAATTCTCTCAAACTATCTCACTTAATGCTCTTGAAACTCTTGCAAAGAATGAAAAGATTGAGAGAATTTATGGAGTTCAAAAGGGAAAACAATTTGTTGAACTAGACTATCAACCGGACGTCCAACCCTGTGTCTAGACCACCAAAATAGCCGTTAGTGCATTTGAAATCACAATGGTAAAAAAAAATCCAATCATTGCACCAACCTTACTTCCGTACAATTTAACCTGACGACCAGTTGGTAAAGGTCGATTTATCCCTTTTTGACCCCATTTTATTTGATTTGAATACTTCGACAAATATAAACATTTGGAAGGTTTTTTTAACTAGTTTTCAAAGTAAATGATGTTTTAAAAGTATGATCTAAGTTCAACCATTATTTTGAATATCAAATTTACTTTTGATCAAAATATTTTATGTGAGTGATAGTCAAAATAGCTTTCAATGGACAAAATGATCTTTGGGCTTTCATCATTCATTGCTAAAGATCAAAATATTAGTGCCTTTGAATTTGAACTAAGAAATTTAGTCTTTGATCTTGCTTCGAAGTTTGGCTTTTTGGCTCTTGTTTTGATCTTTCTTTGACATGTGGCACTTAAGCACTTGATCGTAATCTTTGGTTGATGTTTGTCCTTTTAAGATATTTTCTTGAAGCAATTGTATTGAATGTGTGACTTCAGTCTTGACCTTCTTCATGGATCCGATTTGTAATACTCTTGATTTTCATTTTTTGACCATGTTCAATCAATTTATCATTGGGTACTTTGAAGACTATAATCACTTTAAATTCAATTATTAATAAATAATATTAACTTGTTTGTTATAACCAAAACTTTAAGATTATATTCAATCACAAGTCAATACTATCTGCTTTGCTAGAGCATCCGTTCTCTTAATCCCTCACGACTTTCTATTGTACCCTCAAGGATTTGAACCCGAGACCTATGCCTGATTAGATATTTAAGTTGAATCTTTGTTCTAGTTGAACAACCTTCCAATTAGTATCAAGATTAAATTTAAGTGCTTGTTTGGTAGAGATTTTGTTAATTGATTTTTTAACTATTAGAGATAAAGTGGGTCATACATTGAGGGAAGAATTCAAAAATGATAGCTAAAATAGTGAAATAATGGTCAAAAAATTCAAATACTGGACAACGCGATAAAAATCCATGAGAAGCAAGATAAGCTCAAACTCCTCCAAAGCGGACGATACACACAGTTTAGCCACGAAGCAGGGTCATTATGAAAAACAAGCGTTCAAAGAATTCTAAGATAGAACGGCCTAGGCACAAAACTCATACTTCTTGTACATTCTAACTTTCTAAGAATACTAATTAAAAATTCTTTTGGTTACAGAATTTTCAGCTATATAAAAATCGAGAACAGAGAACTTGTCCCCCTTTTACTCGAATTTTTTTTATCTCAAGAACACCAATTTTTTAGTGATTGCCATTCTCTAATCCTTACTCCCCAACCTCGGAATAGAAAACTAACATGTTCCACCCAATTTATGTTTATTACCCTGAAAACTATACTAAAATAATGCAAAGGAGTTCATCAAAGTTCCGACTAAATTTATACGACGACAATCCAAAAGAAGAAATACGTCCGCAGGTGCAATCAATCATTACAAGTATCTATTGCATCTAGAAGGTGACCATTTTTTTAGCACTATGCTTCAAGTCTGTAATGTAATTGTCTCGAAGAAACCTGAAACCAAATGTTCCATTTTCATAAAGCCAAATTCTTCCCCCGCACTACCGAGGATTTGTAGTAGGCCCTGAGAAGTCTTGAATGTCCGAATCATAGGTTGAGTTGATGAAAAGCATGTGGGAGACAGGTCCATTATCTGAACATACCAGATTATCTTCACCGTGATATAATTCTGCAGGCGGCCGGGGATGCATGCGATTGCTGTATGTATAATCTTCTTCAGGAGAAAAAGGAGGGTCAATAAATGTAGTACTAGATGACCAAAATATAGAGGCACGAAAGGAAAGAGTTATTGATTCTCCAACTTTTCAGGCAAGCAATACCCCCAATGTCATCATAGGACATAAGATATAAATCCAAGCTCATGTCATCACAAATTCCCGGTAGCGACAAGCAGAAAAAGCATCAAGTAGGCTGCAATGCAGTAGAAAAGAATCAAACAGTTTCTGAAGACTAACATATTTACAAGGCCAAGGCCTAGCCAGATGACCATTTTGAGCAAGCACAAATTGGGATAGATTCTACAGTGTGTTACAAAAGTAAAAGTTACATCATAGCCTTTGAGAAGATTATTGAAGAAAAATAGAACTGAATATGATTAATTATAGCTCCAGAATGAGATATCTTGTTAAATATGATAAAATATAGTTAGATTAAACCACACTACGATTGCAGAAAAGTTAACATCCTGGATTAAGAATTCAAACTAAACACATCAACAGTGTAAGTGGGTCATCTGCAAATTGGTATATAGGAATGCATTGTGGGATATGGCAAGGGATTTGGAAAAGGAATGAACCGGCTACCTGGTCTTGATTTGTTTTGTTCATTGCGTAAAATAACCACAAAGGGTTGTAATGGAACAGAAATGATGAAATGACAAAATATACCCTAGGCATATGGCTGAGGCCTAAACCTTGATAAAGAATTCAATATGAGAAAGTAGAGACAAACTTTAGCCACAGGATGGTATAAAACACAAATTAAGCTTAGACCTTGTTTGAGCCCATTTTTAACCAAAAATGCATTTTGGATTAATGATTTGATGGAGAATGTGTAGTTAAAAAATAAGGAAAAATTTTGGGTTTGCATGTATTATTATTTTATTGAGGAATATATAATTGAAAATATGAGAGAGAAAAATGCATTTTGGAAATAATGGGACCAAAAAATGGCTTAATATTTATAACTATTTAACACTAAATATGTTTCTCGTGAAGTGTAAAATTTCTCAATATAGTAAAGCCATAGTTACATATTAAGGAAATGTCCCAATTTGAACCAAATCACGTTTCATCTTTCAAAGCCTATTGAGACAACCATGCTAGTGATTTTGTGATTGATTTGTGTGATCACGAGGGTTTGCAAAGAAGAGCAACTAAAGGAAATCCACATGGCCAGAAGTGTATTTGAGGGCAAGAGGAAATTTATTTATTTTATATATCAAAGTTCTGTTTATCATATTGCTAAAGTCCCCTTTATATAGGTTTCAATTATCTTATTCTAAGTAGGAGATTTCTAATAAAAACCATTAAATCAAACCACAATCAATTTTTCTAAAATAAGCATTAAAATTAGAAGCTATATTTAATAATATCTATACTAATATTCCATCGGAAACATTAAAGTAGTTTATGATAAATCAACAAGAAAGCAATCATAAAACCAAGACCAATAATCCAAAATCAAATGAAAAAGTTAACCAATTGTTCGCACACTTTTATTTGTTTTAACTTCAGACAGAAAAGAAAACACAAAGGAAAGAAAACAAAATCATAGACAACCAACATGATAAAAAAGAAAAAAAAAAAAAGGGTTTCATGTTGCCACTCCTCTACCACCAAAAATCTACAATGTCACTTGACTGGTGAGGTGAGTTTTCACTTCAGCTCTAGTAGTCCAAAAATAGGGATTGCAGGTCTCCTCACTTCTTTTCTTCTCTAAACTTTTAAATTATTTACTTTCAGTTTCTAAGGTTGGATTGTCAGTAAACCCCCCCTCCCCCCCGGGGGGGCCCCAAATGCCCTCAAAACATTCTGAGAATGCAAAGAACCAGCTAAATGGTAGAGATCAATAACAATCAGGGTAAAAAGGGCACCTTAGGAGCACACTCCTCAGGCACCCGAAGGCATGAACCTGAATGATTAAATGAGTAAGCCTAGAGCATAAACTTTAATGCGCCTAATGAATGCCTCACACAACGGAGAGCCTTAAGGTATGAGATTCCGTAAACATTGGGATTGAGAAGGGTTGTGGATGGCAAAGAGGTAACACGAGTCAGCTGATTTAGGAGGGGAAGTGGGACATAAATAGAAGCAGTATAAAGTGGAGGTAGCTGATGCTTGGAACGTTTTAAAAGGGGTATTGAGTGAGAGACGAAGTCACACCTTGTTTTGGAAATTGTTTTGAGGAACTTCTGGTAAACCAAATTTTGGGTCCAATCTTAGTTGTGCAGGTATATTGCTAATATTATGGGGTAAGGGAGGGAGAACAACTTTGCAGGATTCGATTATCAATCTAAACGTAGAAAGGGGTAAAGTAGGTATAGGAACTAATGAAACCTAATGCACGGCCATTGCAGGGCAACTTTGCAGGATTCGATTATCATGTCAGGCTCCATTGTTGCTATCCTACATGTTATTAAAATAATCATTCTACTATCCAATTTAAGACATAAAAGAGAACAAGTTAAGGACCTTATTTAAATACCAATCCAAAAATATTATTTTAACAAGTCAGAGATCAGTCTAAACTATAATCAAAACATTGCTGAAACAAACAAATTAACCAAAAAGCTATTTTCAGCAAGATTCGCTACCTTCCAGAGGCCTTGCAATGGCCGTGCAAGCGTGGGCGAGCAATTAAGAATTTTCACAAGATGTTCTGGCTCCCGTTTCCTCAACCTCTCCTGGCTCTCCTTCTCCCTCCTCTGCCTCCTCGACACTGCTTTCTCATCATGGCTCCTTCTTTTAGCCAAAAACTGATTAATCTCCGACCTCAACTGGTCCCGAGGGGAGCGACACTCATTCTGATACTCCTTTGCTCTCACATGACCAGAACTAGGAACCTTCCCCAACCTCAAAGATCCCAAATTTTCCTCCACTACCACATAGCATTTGCCTTTAAAAATCATATTCACCTGAATCAACTCATTCTCCGAACACCCTAACTTCTCTGAATCCATCAGTAATTCATCAGTAAACTCGAATCTCCCCTCAGGATCCAAGTAATTCGCGGGCTCCCCCTTGGAAGTAACGCAAATCCACAAAAATTGAGATCTAATTACTTCATAAGATCCGTTTTTTGAAGGCGAAATTCTTGACCCAGTAATATAAAACGGACCCCACTCAAAATACACGAGAGTGCCATGCGGAGATTAACAGAAGTAGTATTGATCCTATATCGCCGCCAGAAGCCAATGAGATTCTCATACTCACTAAGAATCCTATACAAGTCTTTATACGAAATTTTGCCCTGACCCCATCTCTTCAAAAGGGTACAGGAGCCCCACCTCCGGTCACACATAGAGAACCAGAGACTCTCATCCCTGCATAGAGAAAAGCATTTCTTCGAGGTACACGCAAAAGAGGCCAACTCCGATGGATCAAGAAACGATAGTATAAAAAGTTGCACGTCCTCCGGGAAATCCGAAAATGACAACGCAAAAACTGTTTCGTCTGAATCTTACAAACCTAAACACCCAAGGATTTTACATCAACCCTGACACCACTTGTCAAACAATTCCATTACAAGTAGGACACTCTTTATAATAGAAATTCCCTTGGATAAAAACATCCAACCAACACAATCCTACTAGGAGTACACTACCTACTCCTACAAAAGCAGAACCTTGGGCCATTATTCAGGTAGGTTTTTACATTGTTCTTCAGCACATAGCCTCACGCATATATTTCCCTTTCTGACTTAAGCATCGGAGGGGCGACGAGAACATACCTCGTTGCCTTTGTTTGAGGTATCGGAAGATCACGTTCGTGCTCAACATCCGTCATCAAACTCGAAAAATTTACAGGTACGATTTTTGGTAGCATCATTGGCGCCGTCTGTGGGAAGCGCTACCAAAAGCCATGGTAAACACACGATCAGGTCTTCCACCCGCAAGCTCATCCGCTCCAAACCAACCCCCTCCTGAGGATATCCCTGTTCCTCAAGAGGAATCATCAGAAGTGCCAGAGCCCCAGCCGGCAGTCGTCACTACTGAGAGCCCCAACCGGCAGTCGTCACTACTGGAGCCTTTGAAGAGCTCAGACAACAGGTCGCCACACTGACTCAGCTGCTAAGTCAAAGAAATTCGCATCCGTCACCCACACCGGCACCCCGGGGGGTTTTATGGCTGATGCTCGAGCTCGAGCTCACGTCCCTGACAATGGCGGAGCAGGGGCCTCGGGTATACCACATGTGACCTTGGCCTCGAGATCAGTGACCATGGAGTCCGAGGAACTCGCTAGGATTATTCAAGAAGGAATTACGACGGGCCTACTTCAGGGCAATAAAGGGACGACAAGATTCAGTCCCAACACTCCATTTACTCTCGAGATATTAACATTCCCCTTGCCGGACAGATTTAAGTATCCTAGGATCAAAGAGTATGATGGGACCACCGATCCAATCAATCATCTGAACATATACACGGACGTCATGAATCTACAGGTTGCACCAGATCATGTGATGTGCAAGGCCTTCCCGCAAACTTTGACGAATGCTGCTAGGGATTGGTTCTCAACCTTAGAGTCCAACTCCATAGCCTCATTCTCGGATTTGGCGGACAAGTTCTCCGCTTTCTTCGCAAGCAGCAAACGCATCAGGAAGACAGCAGCTTCCCTCATGCAACTTAGACAAGGGCAAAATGAGACCCTACGTGACTTCATGACCAGGTTCAACAAGGAAAGACTTCAGATTCCCGACCTACACATAACTGCAGCAGTTTCTGCCCTCACATATGCTATAAAGTGTGAGGCTTTCAAGATGTCTTTATCCAAAACTCCACCAAAGACAGTCACCGAGCTTCTTACCCGAGCCGAAAAGTACATAAATATGGAGGAAACACTGAACCCGAGAAAGGTTGGACCATTCCATGACAGGGTCGAGCATAAAAGACAGCATGACCCGAACCCCCGTGAAGAACAGCATCGGAAAAAACAGAGACAGGAGGTTCCCCCGACGCCGTTTACACGTCTAAACACGTCAAAGACCAATATATTGATGGAGATCAAGGATATGAAGGAACTGAAATGGCCTGTCAGAATGAGGTCACCACCCGAATCCAGGGACATGAACAAGTACTGTGAGTTCCATCGGGATCATGGGCATACCACGGAGAACTGTAAGGCCCTGCAACGGGAGATTGAAGCCCTTATTAAAAGAGGACTCCTGAGCTCCTACGTCGGTAACGACAAACGCCCGAGGAATGATCGTGGCAGGGAAAAAGACCCTGAGGCAAAAAGGGATGGTCAACCTACTGCTGGAACCATCAATATCATCATTGGAGGTATTGCCTCGGGAGGAAACTCCAACAAGGAAAGAAAACAATATGCCCGACGATATGCCTTGGCCTCTGGGATGCCTCAGGGAAAGCTGGAGGATATTACTTTTGGGACCGGAGACTTAGAAGGCGTATCACTTCCACATGATGACGCCTTGGTAATCTCAGCGATTGTGGCCAATTTTGAAGTAAAGAGGATCTTGGTTGACAACGGGAGTGCGGCCAATATACTTTCACAAGAAGCTTTTGCCAAAATGGGTATCTCATCTCAGCAACTCAAAGCAGTTAAAACTCCTCTCCAAGGGTTTGGGGGAGGAGTCATCACTCCAGAGGGTGTCGTCGAGCTTCCACTAACTTTGGGTTCTGGCCAGAAACAGGTTACGGAGATGACATCGTTTCAAGTGGTACGTGTCTCAATGGCCTATAACGCAATTCTGGGAAGACCACTCCTGAACAGGATTAAAGCCATTGTGTCCACCTTCCACCTGGCCATGAAGTTTCCAACACGTAATGGCGTTGGGGTTATCCGTGGAGACCAGACAGCTGCCAGACAATGCTATGTTGCCAGCGTTCGGGAAATAAATAACGACGTCATGTAAATCTCAAGGATTGATCCCGAGGACGGGCAACAATTCAGACTTGCCCCTGTCGAAGAATTGACGAAAATTGAGCTCGAGCATGATAAGAAGGTGACTATTGGTCGGGATCTTGACATCACCTTAAAGACGGAACTTGTTGGTTGCTTATCTCGCAACATTGACGTTTTTGCCTGGAAGGTTGAGGATATGTCAGGGATAGACCCTAAAATTACAGTCCACAGGCTTAACATTAGCCCAGGGGCCAGGCCAGTAAAACAGAGGAAAAGACAGTTCGCCCCAGAGCGTCGGGAGGTCATCCGCGAAGAAATTAACAAACTCATCAGTGCTCGGTTCATTCGGGAGGTCCAATATCCCGATTGGCTTGCTAATGTTGTTCTAGTAAAGAAGGCCAATGGTAAGTGGAGAGTCTGCATTGACTTCACAGATCTTAATAAAGCATGTCCAAAGGATAGTTATCCCCTACCGCGAATTGACAACTTGGTGGATAGCACGTCTGGACATAAGCTATACAGCTTCTTGGATGCATTTTCTGGTTATCATCAAATCCTCATGGCCGAGGAAGATCAAGAAAAGACCTCATTCATGGCCGATTCTGCCATATACTGTTATAAGGTCATGCCTTTCGGTTTAAAGAATGCAGGGGCAACATACCAAAGGCTCATCAACAAAGTCTTTGCTAACTTGATTGGAAGGAATGTGGAGGCGTACGTTGATGACATGGTGGTCAAAAGCAAACAGGTGGACCAACATATTTCAGATCTTGAAGAAGTGTTCAACACCTTGCGAAAGTACGGAATGAAGTTGAACCCCGCAAAATGTGCATTTGGCGTGGCCTCGGGCAAGTTCTTGGGCTTCATGATCACTCACC